AACGAGTTTGAACGACTTGTCGGACCAGTTTAGTGGATAAAATGTTGGTATTCGATCTTTTTGAATAATATAATCGAAATTGTTTACAATTTCATTGATAACTATCTCTAATTGTAATAGAAATTGAAATAATAAACTGAATTAATAAATACATTAGAATTTTAATGGAATCGGAATAAAAATAATATAAAAATACAATCGAACTGTTGTTAAATTAAATTAGAAGACAATTCGAACTTTTGTGCTAACAACGTGGTTTTTACACTGCTTGATGGATTACCTTTGAATTGAATTGAAAATAATAGAACAATACCTTGTTGTTAGAGAAATCATCTTGATAGAACATAGAAATATTAATAAAATTCTTGAAAATATATAAAGCTGAGTCTGTTTATTAGCTTCTCGTAGGGAAAGGTATAGTAATCGCAAAAAAATCGAAAATATATTTTTTTATATATTTTACGTTTCAAAGGTTTCTGAACATTTTGGCATACCTTAGAAAAATTGATTTATGTGTGTGTAATATGTATGTAGTATGTGCCTATATAATTTTCGTCCACGATTTCGAGAACACGGTTCAACCAATTTGAATGATTCGAAGAACATTCGATTCCTATTGATAAGGAGACGCGCTGATTAGTTTTTGACAAAGGCAGTTACAACCGTTTCGAAGATACGGGCAAAAAAGTGCCAAAAGTAGAAATTCCAGTTTTTGAGATAACGGAGCGTCCGATTTGAATGGTTTAAAAAGCATTTTATTTGTATTGACGAAATGAAGACTGATATGTTTTTGGAAAGGCAGACCAGTGGTTTCAGAGATCCAATAAAAAAAAGTAAAAAAAAACCATTTGGTGGTCAATAATGATCATTAGACATATGCACATTAAATTGTCAAATATTTCATATAGATTTTAATAATAAGTATAAATTTTGTTTACATTTATATGGGTTCCGTACCAATTTCGTTAGACAGCAGCGCATTTGCGCTTCGATATTTTATCTTTAAAAATTTTGAAAAAAAGCTAAACATTTTCAAAAATTTAAAAATATTGAAATAAAGTCAAATTTTTCAAAAAACTCTATTCTGTTTAAAACATTCAACATTCTCGAAAATCTAGTTTTTTCAAAGTTTTCAAAAACCTATTTTAAAAATTTTAATTTTCAGTACGGTAAGTTCCAGTAATTTGCCTTAAGGCACAATGTACAAGTAGTTTTCATTTTTAAATCAGCCCGATCATAAAAACATGTTTATTGATTCGCATTGTGCACACTATTTCAAGTAAAAGTATATTGGGAAGGGGCAGAACATTCCAAAGGATGTTCTCTTTTGAATGCGTAATGTAGATATATTTATATAACACATGAATATAATTTTATATAGTTTATCACCATGATTTCACACGTAGTTTTCGTTTGTGATATAAAAAATAATGTAAAATCAGAATTTATTTCGATCCTCATCCATTCGATTATTTGCTATGCATATAATTAGTAAATTAAAAGACAACAATCTCTATGACAACAATTTCGTCGGTTGGCAAAATCGAGTCGAATCACAGAGCATTGCGTTTCGATTGGTTAGTTTATTTATTATTCGATCTGTCTCACCACGTGTTATACTAAATAATAGAACGTCTTTCCATATTTATAAATGTCTGAATATATATGAGCGTTCATTGCACTGTGCCGCCTATTGCAAATATAAACATTTGCAATCAGTGTTGCATATCGGGGCATTTAATATCTTTTCGCGAAGCCGTTAAATAAAATACATTCGTTCCCGCATAATTTATGCAAAAATCGATGTTAGGTTATGTAGCAACCGGCGTTGTTTATTGTCGATTCTGACACGAGCCATTTGTTATTTATAAACAAATGTCACATGAAATTGACATAAGGTCAGAAGACGTACGGTGTGACACTTTATATACAAAAAACGTTGAATGACAACATTGCGCAAAAAAGGACTCACCTCGCCACATTCGGCAGCTGGAGAATTTTCGACGATGTCGTAAATGATGTGGGGTAATCCTGCCGTGCCCAGAAGGGAGAAACCAAAACCCAAATGTTCACTTCTATTTAAAACCACCAATAATTCCTCAGCCATTATGGCCGACTACATTGATCGCGCACAGACACTACAAACACATCAAACTGAACCGATACACACGCTGAAGCGATTGCGACGCCGGTCCGACGCGTACTGAGCACTTCGGCTCGAAAGCACCGCAACGTCGATAGTGACATCTGTGAGCGATCGAAGATCATAAGATAGGCGGCGCTGACGAAAGTTGGCGGAAACCGACATTTACCGAATTTATTTCAATCGTTGCTACTCGTTCAATCGCCACCGATTTTAAAATTGTAACTGTATATATTAAATAACCCTTAAATTACGATTTAGATTCGAAAATGTTGGGCCAAAGTTGTTCAAACTGGCGCGGCGTTTGTGACTATTTTCCCACACAATGTACAGTGAAAATAATTTTGTATTTTATAGTTTCGTACAAATAAATATTTTGTAATACTTGCGATCACCGTACCGGGCCATGCCCGTAATGCGTAATATTTGCTTCTGGCCCGACTATCGTACGCGGCCTATGGCCGTAATATTTACGTTTGGCCTACGTAATTGGCCGTAATATTTACGTTTGGCCTACGTAATTGGCCGACTATCGTATGCGGACTTTGCTCGTCATTGTAAGCCTAGACAATATAATGATTGTAAGTTAAGGGGTTAATAAACTGACCGTAGGGTAAGTTATAGCAATCGCAAAAATCGTAAAATGAAATTTTTTATATATTTTTACGTTTCAAACGTTTTTTAACATTTTGGCATACCTTATAATTAGATAAAATGGATGTATGTATGTGTGTCTGTTTGTATATGTGGATACAATTTTCCGTCGACGATTTCTAGAACACAAATCAACCGATTTGAATGATACAAAAAACATTCGAGTTCTATTAATAAAAACACGTGCTGATTAGTTTTTGGCCAAGGTTGGTCCAGACGTTCTGAAGGTACGAAGCAATAAGTTCCAAAATTAGTAATTCACTTTTTAAAAGAACGAAATGTCCGATTTCAATAATTCAAAAAACATTTGACTTGTATTGACAAAATGAGGAACTAATTAAATTTTTGAAAATGCAGGTCCAGCGGTTTCGTAGATTGAAAAAAAAAGTAAAAGGAAATGACATTTGGCAGTCAATTTGATCAGATCTTTTATAGAGATTGTAATAATAATTTCCTCATCTATGGTAATAGTAAATACGGACTTTGTTTATATTTCTATATTCGATATATTGTCTCTATAACAGCTCCGCAGCGCTATTGCATTGAAAAAAAATCTAAGTTTAAAAAAAAAAATGAAATACAAAAACATATTTTTTTTGAAAAAAGTCCGACTTTTTCAAAAATTTCAAAATTCACAAAAATCTTGTTATTTGAAAGTTTTAAACAATTTTAAAGCTTTTAGACATTTTATATTACGGTACGGAAAGTTCCAGCAATTTGCCCACTAAATCGAATCTATGCACCACTAGTTTTGTAATAAACAATACCCAAACATAGGAGTTTAATTCGCTCCATTACCACACTCATATCTCGAAGCCATATAAATCCATCTCATATAAAATGATATGGTTATAAAAGTACATATTTTGTAAATGCACGAAAAGCAAAAAACGCGAACTCAACATATATAGCTGTAGAATTACTATTAATGTACAGTTAAAATTCCAAACGGAGTGGTAGAAAAATAATTGTTGAAATCAAAACCACTGATGAAATTTTTCATATTTTCATAATCATTAACATTTTTCAAGAAAAATTCGACTCATCCAACGCTCGTATCTCAAATTTTGCTTGTGTCTCGAAGCAACAAATCGCTCTTTTGATTTGTATCTTGAATGTCAGATCACTCGTAAAACAGGGTACCACTGAATTAGTGTAAAAAATATCACATTAAAAAAATATACAAAAAATTTTAATTGTTTCAATCAACTTGAATAATAGTTGATTGCAATTTAACAATTTTATACTATACTATTATGATTTTAATTGCATATCAATTTTAGCTTTTCTTTTCTATAGCACTTTGAACATTTTTAGACAATTTATTAGAAATTTAATGATTTTTCTTTGACAATCGTGCAGGATTTCTTTCAGTATTTCATTTTTCATATATCTGATATTTAATGTTTCGTTTTACGAGATAACACAAATTAAGATCAATATTTTTCTTTGAACTTTAAATGCAATAAAATCATCTCAAATTTATATTTTTGAAATATTAAATTGGAGTAGCTACTTGTACGTTTTTAAAAAGATTAAGAAATTTATGTAGCGTACAAAATTTTGATTTAATAAAATAAACAAAAACCAAATTTACTTAAATTTCAAATATATTTATATGCTATATATTACAATGACACACTAAATGCATATTTATACAAAACATATTTATACATATGTGGTCATGATCTTAATTTCTACTTTTACACCTTTTTTGAAAATGCAATATCAACAAGCACCAATAATGTATGTACACATCATTTAAATGCATCATCATTATTTACGCATTGATTGAGATAATGCCAGTAAACAAAAACTGCCTATTATGTAAAGACTCGCAGGAATAGATGCTAATAATTGATAACGCTCATCTTAAAAAAAAAATGTAGTTATTATTTAAAATATTTAGAGTGCAGTATAAAATATAAATGAAATACTAATTACCAGTCATTGCTTTAGATTTCTTCATAGTTGCCCATCCTAGTGAACGCTGCACAGCCATTTTCCACTTTGTATAACGTGCATTCCTCTCTGAAATTACATTTTTTAAAATTCAATTTAATAAAATTAATTTCAAAAACATTTATAAAGCTTTTATTCTTGTTGTTACCTGCTGGTGTTGTATCAGGTAAAAATACTTCATTAGGAATAGTATCACGACATTCTAAATCTAAAGGCCAGACCTCGATGCCCTTTGCTTGACCTGCAGCCATTGCTGCGCCTAAAGCCGTTATGTCAGCTGTTTGTGCTCTATCTGTAAAACCAATTTGATTGTAAAATAAAATTGTTAGCACTTCATGATTTTAAAAGAATACAATGCTAAAATTTTAGTGCAATATGCAATTACACAAATTCTTAAAGCCAAATAAAATTCATAAATATACATGTACATGCATGAAAGTATACTTGAGAATAATATTTGCAATAAGAATGCAGTTTTTATTAACTTTTCACAATACTTACATACAGGTATTCCAACTAAATCTGCTTGTAGTTGCATCAGTAAATTATTTGATGTCATTTTTCCATCTACATGAAGTTTGGAAAGTGGGAATCTAAAATTTAATAATGACTTAATATTTTATGTTGATTTTTGAATATATTATATCAAATTTTATCACATACCCGCAGTCTTTATTCATTGCTTCCAGAATATCCCTAGTTTGGAAGCATACAGCTTCAAGAGATGCCCTAATTATGTGATTTTTAGTTGTAAATGCAGTTAATCCACATATAATCCTACAGTAAAAAAAATATATATATACTATATATACAATTGTATTAAAAAAATCCATTAATTCTATGCATGCACTGAAGAACAATTCTTCTTACTACTCTTAATTAATCCGATATCCTAATTATTCTTACTTAATCCCCATATTCTAAAACAAAACAGAATAAATTTTCATTTTATAATAAAAACAAAATAAAAATTAACAATAAATCAAAATTATATAATATACTGGTAATAGTAATGATAACTATTCAATTTATTCACAATTAATCGGTTTAAAATATTTTATTATTAATGGCTAACTATTTTCATTTAATAATCACTCATAAATATTTGACAATATAACTATGAGAGTTGAAGGCTTGGTTGCGTCTTTAGAAATAATTATTTCTATACTTAAATTTTTCAGCAAAAAATAAAATTCAAATTGAATAATTACTTCAGATTACAGAATATATATATATATATATATATATATATATATGTATATATATTAGTTGAGTAGTATATATATACTCGTATACTTATACATATACAAATCAAAATCTTACCCTCTAGCGTCTTTTCTCCAATATGGGGCATAAAGACCAGTAAATGCAGGCACAAAATAAACATCTCCAGTATTAAATACAGATTTAGCTATACTTTCAGTTTCAGTTGGAATATCTTTTATTATTCTCATATTATCCCGTAGCCATTTCATAGCCGCACCTGCTACAGCAACAGACCCTGCAGCATTGATTAGTTAGTTGAGTAAAGTAAGTCAATAAAAAAAACTAACAGCGTAAGAAGTGTTAATATTGATGTGGATCATGACAATGATCATGATTGTAAAAATAAAATAAATCCTGAGAAATAATCGATATCATACAAACATGAACACGTTTTGATTCCGCTGATGGAACACATTGACAATTAACTTATGATAAAGACATGATAGTCGTCTTAATTTTTTTTTAAATACTGATCTCATTTAGTTATTTTTATATTATTTCTCATTTATTTGCTATTATATTATTTTTCTCATTGTTTTTGTTTTGTAACATACTCCTAGTAAGTTCTCTGCTGAATGTATCTATTAATATCTAATCAAGACGTCGTTTTCTTTTTCATATATATTGTTAACAATCTTTAATCATCCTTTTCTATGAACAGATTGAAGAATAAAAGAATTTGAAGAACAAAATATGAAAAATTTGAAGTGTTAATATTGTAGTGTTAAAACATTAATATTCCATATTCACTCTAAATTGCTAATCTCAGCATAAATTTAAAATATCTACTGAATTAAGAATTATAATAAATAATTTTGAAACATAAGCCTGAAAATCGAAGAATAAAACTAAGCTACATAAATATACCTTCCAATGCATACACAGGATCAGCATTCTTTCCCATTTTATAAGCAACAGTTGTCACTAACCCATGCATACTATTTACTCTGTCTTTCCCAGTATTATATAATAAAAAACATCCACTTCGATAAGTATTTTTTGCCTGACCCCTTTTAAAACATTTATGGCCCACTAGAGCTGATTGTTGATTACCTAAAATCTATATGACTATTATTTCTATTAGCCTATTTCTGTTTGATGTAAAACAGTTTTGTACAAATACAACAATTTATGTAAATGCTGATATGAGCAAAAACCTGATATCAAACAAGCCTTTTGCATAAATTATTAAGTAACAATGCTACTTACAGCACTAATTTTAATTCCTTGTAAAGGAGATCCATCATTCACTGTTCCAACAATTTCAGAACTGCTTATAATTTTCGGCAGAATGGATTTATCTATACCAAAAGCTCTTAGCAAAACCTGAATATTTAATATAAATTAACTCTCAATTATTAAACTTTAGAATAAATGAAAATATATCACTTACAGGTTCCCAATTTAATGTCGCTATATTCATCAACAATGTTCTAGAAGCATTTGTTACATCAGTCACATGCTTACCTCCATTTGGTCCACCAGTTATGTTCTTAAAGTTCAAAGGATATATTATATTTTTAGCTAAATTACAACATTATAATTTACATAAATATATATCAAATCTATCTCTTCTATCTAACTACAAATGAAACTAACCCAGACAATCCAGCTGTCCATTGTACCGGCCATACATAAATTTTCTTTACAAGCTTTTCTAACATTTGAAACATTGTCAATTAGCCAGCGAAGTTTCAAAGCACTAAAATAAGGTGATACTGGAAGACCAGATATTTGTTTGAAATGATTTTTATTTTGATCAGGTAAACGAGCTAGTACTAAATCCACAGTCCGGTCTGTTCTGATGTCATTCCACACTAGAATGAAAAACAAATGTTTACAATAAAAAAAATTATATACCTATTGACTTTGATGGTATGCACGATCAAAATGAAATAAAACTTAGGTTGATAAGACAGTCGGAAGTAAGGTTACAGACCTATTTTGGCATACTTTGAATGAAAGCAATTTGGAATAACTACACTACATCATATATAATGTGGCATGAAAGGACTATAATGTTTCTAGAAAGTACTAGAAGAAGTTTAATTAAAATATGTTATTTCTAATTATTTCATCTGAAACATTTTATATTTTTATATTATTTCCTATAAAAGTAAAATTTGAATCAAGGTTTCTTATTATAACAATGTACTGATTTTATGTTTCAGTGTTTTACTGATCATTAGTTTATCAAAGATTTTAAACCACTATTAAATATTCATGAAAGTTTACCGAGTAGTCATTCAGATGTATGAATATAAAACTTACCTATAGCATTATGTAATGGTCTGCCTGTTACTTTATCCCAAACTATGGTTGTTTCACGTTGATTTGTAACGCCTAGTGCAACAATATCTTTCACAGTATATTCTAAAAAATAAAAAGAATAAATAGAAAGAAAGAAATTAACAACATAAGGTAAAAAAGTTTAATATAAATATGCTTATAAATAACTTATTACTTATAATGCTTATTACCATATTCTGGAAGTCTTTCACAAACTTTGCTAACACAAGTATTAACAGCACGCAATATTTCTATCGGACATTGTTCAGCCCAGCCATCATGCGGTGTTATTAATGTGATATCGATACTCTCAGCTATTAGTTCTTCAGTATGTCTTGCTCGAAATACCTACAGAAAAATAATATTAAGGTCATTTATAATAATTTTATTTATATATTTAAGCATAAAATTTTAATAAAGATAACTTTGCATGTAGTAAATACATAAATATATTTTCACTAAAAGTAAGAAATCGCAAATAGATTTTATTTCGAAAAAAATAATGCACATCTGGACTGTGCAGAAAACTGTAACAGAAAATTGCTCAATGGATAAAGATACCTTGCTGATGATCTTGTTCGATATTTCTTACTTGTTAATTATGACTAAATCGTATTATTGACATAATGTATATTACTTCTTTAAAAAAAATAATAAATACAACAATATTTACATTTGTAAAAAATCATGATATTTAGCATGTATTTTTAAATTCTTGGAAAGTAACCCCTCTTTTTGTAGTAGTTCTTTGTCCACATAACACGCTAGTTTTTTGGAACGTATTTACCGTGTTCTAAGTCAATACATCAAACGAAAGCCTAAGATTAAAAAATTAATCTTTAATTATCCTGTATGTTTTGACATAATACTTTTTATCATCATCAGTGGATATGAATATGGTGTCATTTGAGCCTCAAAGCCAATTCTAATTACAATTTACTCCTGCAAAAATATTCTATAATACATCTAAATTATTCATGTTCGATAACTGTGCTTAATTCAATTACACTATTTAGAACATAAAAATTCTCTTCGTGGAAGACAAGCTAGTGTATAAATGATTGTGCTAAATTATGTGCTTTGCACATATCTAATGTTGTATGACATCATAATCATATCTGCTGATGATGACATAAAATGTTATGTGGAAACACATGGAATAACTAAAGATTAATTTGTAACTCTGCCTTTCCAATTTGATGTGTCACCCGAGAAAATCGTACTCATATCTCAACACCAAAATTAACTACTTCTACAAAGTCTAGTAATCGGGCATCAATAAAATACATAAATTTTTTTCAAAAATTTATTTTACATCCATATGTTTCGGCTATAATACTAGCCTTCCTAGCCGAAAAGTATGGTTGTAAACATCAAGATCAAATTCAGAATCATACAACAATATATGTATATATATATATATCACAAGAATAATTTTAAAAATTAGGTTTAATTTACAATTTTTAGACAACCACATCCAAATTGATGTGATTTTGATATGAAGATATTGAACCAAAATAATATATAAGATATTACTTATTTAAGATTTTCAACTCACTAAATATTCTGGGGCCAATTATGGTTCTATCTTCTTATGAATTGATAGTGACAAACTGTCAAAAAGCTATTTGCTGTACAATCAAGCATTTCACACAAAAAACCTAACCTACAAAACTCACAAATGTCAAAAGCACAATGTTGATAACACATACGTGAAGTTGGCTTTCACGTGAAAACGCCTGATTGCACAGCAAATACCGTAACGCAGTGTTGCCATAATCTATTATAAAATTATTAAACAAAAAATCGAATCAATTGTATACTAATAAAAAATGAAGAACTATGCTCGATATAATGTAGTTAATAAGCAATTTGAAAATTGTATAACTATTTTGTTAAAATGTATGAGCCGATTCTGCCGTAAAATAGACCAATGTTATGGCAAGGCTATGTTACGTTCCAGTTTTCATACAAATTGCTACTAAAAACTGTCTAAATGCAATGTATTTGCTGTGCGATCAGGGGTTTTTATATAAAATGCAACTTCACCCAAATGTTTTCAAGCCATATCTCAAAGAATCAGTTATGATAACATAGTTTTTTCACATTTTTGTGTTTTCTAGTTTTGGTTTCCTATCTAAAACGCCTGATTGCACAGTAACCACATAGGACGTTTGAGAGTTTTTAGTGCTACTTTATATAAAAACTGCTACATAACATAATCTTGCCATAACATTGATCTATTTTACGGAAGTATCGGCCCCTTACTGGCGATATCCAAGTGATAGATAAATATATATGTTCTTTAAATATATAAAATAGAAATAATTCAATTTTTTATAAAAATGTTCAAATAATGTATCTTACCACAAAACTAACAGTTCTTGTACCGACATCTATCACGCCAATCAATGGATTTTTGTCTCCAGACATAATTTATCTAAAACAGTGTTAAATAACGTAAAAATTTAGAAATTTAAAATATAATGAACTAAATTAAAAACATCTACATACCAATACAATACAAACTAAATGATAAAAATTAGTAGAGTATTCTATAATGAACACTTATGTTATTATCAAATCCAACACTTTCATTATCACGACACAATGAAAAATTACGAAACTCAAATACCAAGGTTCAGAAGCAAATATTATCAGAAATAATATGTTATCAGCAAAATTACGTAGATGAAGCATAATTAAGCATCCGACTATTGACACTGTTATCAATAAATACATATTCCGAGAAACCGTTGTTTTAATTTGATATATACAATTCTGATATTGACTAATTGAATAACGAGATAAATATACAGCCGACATTTTGGCATTAAATATTCATATAAAATCGAGGGCGAATAAAATTGGAAATAACCTAGTTTAAAACGGGCACATGGCATGACGTAAGAGTTGATGAAGGGGCTCGTCTGAATGCTTCGTTCTGATTGGTCCAGAGGTCGAATTGTTTTTTGAACTGTCAAAACACCACCATTTTCGCGAAATAGGAAATGATCGATAAAAAACGCCGGTTACGTAAATTATAACCAATTTTGGTTAAAGTTTATCAATCCCGTAAAAATATACGTTTTCCAACTTAGGAAGTAATTTTTTTTTATTATTTTGGGTTTCTCGGTGTTCGTACGAAATTGTTTACAAACTTCCCGCCTCAAACTGACACATTCACAGATGTCATTTGTTTTTGCAACTTGTGTCATGAAACTTTTAAAAAGTTTTTAAATGTTGGTGAAGATGTACACATAAATATGATTTCGCATATTAATATGCAAATGCAGATGAACTTTGGAATTTACACTGCATACGAAACACACACCAAATTGCCATATGAACAAAAACAAAATTGTGGGTTTCAAATATTATTTTAAAACCAAAGTCCTTATATTTGCTGATTATTATTAATTCAATATATATCTAGATGTAACTAAATTTAACTGCAGGATATGTTATGTACTTCCTAACCTAAAATATATTATATATGATATTTTTGTATCTAAACATACATATATAAATACCTTTGCAAATATAAGTACAGTCCATGAATTATGTATTTGTTAATAAATTAATCGATTTCGTTGAGCATTTGTTTGATAAATAATAAATAAAGCCTACTATATACAATTCCAGGGCACTTAAGTACTATATACACTACGTTAAAACTAATTATAAAACTTTAAGTACACTTTTAAGTAATGTTTTACTGCTGAATGTTTTGTTATAACTGGTTTTAAACAATTTTATCATGTTTAAATGCAACAAAACACACACACCCACTGTTATCAGCGAAATGTGAGAAACGTGAAACTCTCGGCTTCACGAAAGCCGCACTAACGTTCGACGTGCGTTGACGGTCAACACGTGCGCAATCGCATGCACAAAAACTACATGGATTCTAATAAGAGTACGAAGGTCGTGTGATCGAACGAGCGCACTCGTACTATAAACAACTTGATTCCAAAATGCATTGTAATAATGCTTGTTTACACACATAATATACACTATTCAAACATACATCAGCAGTATATTGTATTATGAGTGAAACGAATATTCATTATTTCTTCATTTATTTATAACGTTATTTCACTTACGTCTTTATTAATTATGTGAATTAAATAACAACCAATTATTTTAAAAAAATATATAATATAAATACTGTTTAAGTTTTTCTGATGGCTATTTTAGTATTTTGTAAATTTTTTGCCAATATTCTTATAAGACTCAAATAAGACCCTTATAAGATTCACATTATATATGTGTGCGTTGATAAAAATAAAATACTTCCTGAAATACGCATCTATACAGATAATAGAAAAAGAAAGAAAACTAAATTAGGTTTCTAAAACATTTCCAATTTCGATACGTTTGGTGTTCCAAATGGACATTTATTAGATAACTTAATAAAAATATATAAAACTTACCACACAAAGTATTCGCACTTAAACATATTATATTTTGTTTAAGTTTCCAGGATTTATCTATCATTCAAGATAATCAAAATAAAAAGAAAACTAGTGGGGTGCATGGCATTGTGCCTTAAGGCAAATTGCTGGAACTTCCCGTACCGTAACGAAATGTTTGAGGAATACTGAATGTTTTCAAATAGATTATTATAAATATTGTAACATTGTCTAATATTCATAAGAATTATATAAACTGAACTACAAAGTTAAAATTATTTGTTTAAAGTATATAAGAACTTTAGTCAGAATTAAAAATAAAATCTGAATTATTTTCGATATACAAAAAAAAAAAAAATGATACAAATTTTTTTTTCCAAAATCAATTATTTTGTTAAAACAAGCTGAAAGTTTTTTGAATCATTCAAATCGGATGCTTACTTCTCTTAAAAACTGCGATTTTTTGCACATTTAGCTATGTATCTCCGAAATCGCTGAACCTGCCATTGCTAAAAACTAATAATCACTTCTACCAATCATTACTAATTGAATGTTATTTAGATCATTCAAATCGAATGCTCCGTTCACTCAAAAACTCTATTTCTATTTTATGCACTCTTTGCTCCGTATCTCCGTAACGGCTGGACTTGCTTTTGACAAAAACTAATCAGCACATCTCCCTATCAATAGGAATCGAATGTTTTTTGAACCATTTAAATCGGTTGATTCGTGCGCCCGAAAACGTGGACAAAAAATTGTATCCATACATACATACACACACACACATCCATTTTTTCTGAGGTATGCCAAAATGTTCAGAAACCTTCAAAACGTCGAGAAATGTAAAAATTTTCAATCTCGATTTTCGGCCCATTACAATAACTTACCCTACGGGAAGTAAAAAATATTTTCAATCGATTTCGATAAGTTGTTCTAATCTAAAAGAATTTTTACAAAGTTTTAAAATTTATATTTCAAATATATTATAGATTAAAAGTTAAAATAACAAGTAAAAATTTGATAATTTGAAATTTGAAATGACAAATACCAATTTGATAACATGAAGACAAACGATGTTGTGGAGAGGGTTTCAAGGATAGTTAAACAATTTGAGAAAATAAAAATATGAAACATGATTGGCGTATAAATAAATAAATAAATAAATAATATCAAATAGACTACAAAAAAACTTTTTTAAACTTTGTAAAAATTCTTTTAGATACTGAAAATAATTTCAAAAAAAGTGTTGCTGAATGATGACACACACCGTGTCGAAACGTATAAATAAAAATTTTATTGTTTATGTTTTGTTTTATTTCGACGTTTGGCTGAAAATCAACATTCAAGAATATGTCTCAACGTCGAATAAAAAAATCTAAATCATATATATATATATATATATATATATATATATATATATATATATGTATATATTGTTTAAGTATTCTAGATAGCTATTTAATAACACGTACATTTTTTGACAAAATTCTAATAAGATTTAAGGGGGTTGTTCGGTTTATATTTATTTTTTTTTCGATTTTGAGATTTTTTGATATTATGAAAGCTAAAAACCTTAGAATTATTTAAAAAAAATCATTTCAATATCTATTTTTTTGAAGAAGTTATAGATATATATATCTCTATATGTATGATCCTCTGAAACCGTTTTTTTCATCGCTCCGCGAGCTATTATATGCCAGCTGCTCTCTTTTTCATTATAATACCTCATGCACGTGACCCTTTTAATGTGTCAGCATCTTTGAACTCCATGGTGTATTCAGTACATTAAATTAAATTAAATTTAGTACATTATATTAAAAACTTTAAATACGTTTTTCTCAAAATGACTTTTTTCAATGCGGTGCCACAAATTAAAAAAAACCTACAAGTCGGATAGATTTGATTTTTTTTTAATTTGTTAACCACTGCAATACCTAGTCCCCCTACCTCAAACAACTTCATAACATTACGCAAAACATTTTGCGAAGCTTCTCGTCCCAAAAAAAGGCCCTTTCTAATACTTTTTTTTTAAATAGCTGCCATTTTTTTCCTTCTTGCTTTTTTTCTTTCATTTTGGTAGGGGGACTGGATTCAAACTTCTTCAACGTAGTTTTTTTTGTTTTAGGCGATCTGCAACGGAAAAAAACGAACAACCACCTTAAATCAACGATTCTTATAAAATTCACATTAGATATGTGTGTGTTGATAAAAATAAAATACGATATACGAATAATTAGATAATATAAGTAGAAATAACAGTAAATTGAGTTGAGTTGAGTTTCTAAAAAATATTTTTAATCAATTTCCATACCTTTGAAGTCCCAATTAGGTTTTTTTTTATATTACATCACATAATAAAAATATAGACAATTATCTTGCCATAAAAATTATTTGGAAGACACAAAGCACAAAAACATATTCAGTGGAAATAATACTTCAATAACAAAGATATTAGTGAAAAAGAATAAAAAATATTTAATTTGAAAAATGAAATTCATATAATGATGTCGACCATCATAATCATGCACACGCTTTATATGATTTTATTTTTCTCTCACAAATATGACTGAATCACGTCAAGTGTTATGTTTGTATGGATTTGTATGTTATTTAATTAATTTGTGTGAAAAGTTCACTTTCATTTTATTTATTTTTTTGTAACATTTTTGAATAACAAAATTGCAATGAATTGAGTGAATGAATTGACTGAACACAATTTAGATTTTTTCTTCAATAACTGGAATGCACGCCGGTTAATTTTTATTTGTTTTTTTTATAATATATATATATATATATATATATATATATATATATATTAATAGCATAAAATGTTATTTCATTATATAACTACTTTTATCGCGAAAATTGTGAACGTGAAATATTATCCATCGTAAGGTTTCTGATAAATTGAAATTGAACTCCTCGCATTCTGCATGTCATAAAAGCCGATCAGAAACACTTTATACATTTTATAATAACTACTTCACGAAAAATTTGCATATTTATTAATACTTCACAATCAGTATAAGTGCACTGCCTTGTGTGCACAGGGTCGTGAGTTCCGCTCTGGATAACTCGATATCATGCAGTAGTGATATAAATTTTCATTTCATCTCATTTCGGGAACTGCGGTGTAAAATGGCAAATGGGAAATATCTCTCACTATTCTTCTCTGAATCAAGTTGGAGTTTAATTCAGCTCACAAACCAGCCCTAGTGCAGCACCACCCATTATTATAATGATTTTTTATTATTTAAAATAGAAGTTTTATCATACCCAAATAATAAACTCCCGAATATGGTAAAATTTAGTGTTCATTAAAAAATCGGCATTAGTTATACTTTATTATTATCTACTTGGTGAAAATTATAAAACAATCTCAATCAATCAATCTCAATCAATTAGATATCAATTTTGAGAGGTACAAAATATTCTAGTAAGAGTAATTTAATTCTAATTGGATTTTTTAAAAAAACATTATTGGTAGTAGTATAATTCTGGAATGTAAATAACATAAGACTAAAGATATGTGTACAGTGCTTAGAAAGTCAAAGCACATACAAATAAAGAATCACTAATTGTAAGGTTGTGCCTTAAGGCAAAATAGCTGAAATTTTTGTATTATGAATAAAATTAGTATTGAAAAAATTTAAAGATTTGAACATTTTGTAAAAAAAAACTTTTAAATATCGTAATTTTTTTTGGAAACTTTGTTCAAAATATCTAGCAAAAATAAAAAATGTATACATAACACAAAACCTTGTAAGATACTTATCTCAATTTTTAATGTCGGCGCTCTTCCGGCGATAAATATAAATCATCCCTATTAGAATTTCTAATAATAAATTCATTAAATAGTGATAGAACCACTGTTGGGTTGCCATCTTATACACCATGACATTAAAAATTAAGTCATCACAATAGTTCCAATACTCCCCCTTAATTTTTTTTAAGGTCTCGTCAAGTTCTGATTGCTGTTAAAAAAATAAAAAAAAATAATATCAATCAACATAATGAAAAAAGATAACCAAAACATTTTTAATTTGTACTTAAATTTAATTATTTAGATTCAAATTTGCTTAAAATATCATGTTTTTTATATGTAGAATAGTTATAATAAAATTTAATCCATTTGAGATAATTCTATAAGTAAATTCTAAGAATTAATAATAAAATCATAAAGAATAATTTTTTTTGCGTTTGTTTCAATTGGTTCGAAATCCCATAAAACTCTCATAAGAAAAGCTCTTATGATAGTCTTATAAGAAAGAATCTTATAAGATTTGGATAAAAAGTATACATATCATTAAAATCACTCGTGCATTCATTTTTTATGAAATATTCACATTTACATTAGATATTAATAAATAATATTCTATTTTTTGGCGATTTTAATAACGTTTTGTTAAAAAAGAAGAAAATATGATTGTAAATTTTGATAACATCATTGCAGATCTGATTGTAATAGAAATATAAATTTCATAAATATTTATGAAAAATATATGAAATGAGTATCAATAAGTATCATGTGTTGCCACTTAAATAATTATCAATACATTTGAGCTACTGTTTATTTGCGGGCAATAACATTTGAAATGAAGTGGATTTCCAATTAGAATCATATTCAAATTATATATTCTAATTAGTCATTCACTCAAGACTGCATGTAATGAGATTAATTGTAACACTGACAACAGATAATAAATCATGTAAGTGTAAAAAGATACGAAGAATATACTTCATCTATTTTTTTTTTAATCAGAACGCTATCTTTTTTATCAACAACTTATATTTCTGTGATTTCACCGCCATTTTTAACTTCCCGTAGGGCAAGTTATAGTAATCGCAAAAAAATTGAAAATGAAAATTTTTATATATCTTTACGTTTCAGAGGTTTCTGAATATTTTGGCATACCTTAGAAAAAATGGATGTATGTGTGTGTGTGTGTGTGTGTGTGTATGTGTGTGTGTATGTGTGTGTGTATGTGTGTGTGTATGTATGTACGTGTGTGTATGTATGTGCGGATACAAATTTTCGTCGACGATTTCGGGAACACTGATCAACCGATTTGAATAATTCAAAAAACATTCGATTCGTATTGATAAGGAGACGTGCTGATTAGTTTTTGGCGAAGGCAGGTCTAGCCGTTCCGAAGATACGGGGCAAAAAGTGCCGAAAACGGTAACTCAGTTTTTAAGAGAACGGAGCGTCCGATTTGAATAATTCAAAAAACATTTCACTTGTATTGACAAGATGAAGAATCGATAAAATTTTCATGAAGGTAGGTCTAGCGGTTTCGGAGATATGGAGGAAAAAGTAAAAAAATGAGCCATTTGGCGGTCAAAAATGATCATTAGACATATGCACATTAAATTATCCGATATTTTATAGAGATTTTAACAATAAGTATACATATTGTTGACATTCCTATGGGTTCCGTACCAATGCTTATGCGTTAGACAGCGACGCGGCGCTTACGCGCTTTATATTTTGTCCCTATGCAGTTAAAGCAGTACGATTGCTTTGAAAAAAAAGTTCAGATCTTTCACAATATGTCAAAATAAAGAAAAAATTTTTTTTCAAAAAAAAAAATTAAAAAAAATTTTTTAAAAAAAATTTTTTTTTCAAAAAGTAATTTTTTGTCCAATTTATAGTTTCTCAAAAATCTTATTTTTTCAAAGTATTTTTTTTTTCAAAAATGTTAATCGTTTTTAAAAAAATAATAATTTTTGGTACGGGAAGTTCCAGCAATTTGCCTTAAGGCACGATGCCTTAATTGCCTTAAGACAGAATTCCACTTACAGCTAGTTATTTTACGGTCCTATCACTATCTTTATCACCTGTAAAATCACCTGCTAATCACGACAAAATTGAACACTTTGATAACAGAAGTATAAAGTTCTTGAAGATTGTGCCCATCATGAGCATACACTCTATAACTATCTAAGTTCTTGTCGTCACAAAAAACTGTAAACTTTACCAAATTCTCCATTTGAGGACTAAAATTTTACATGCACAGACCTTATATAATAATACATAAAAGTATTATAAGGTCTATGAGTGCATGGCAATCACTATGGCCATCTACCGAAAATTAATAACAATTCTTGATTTTTGAATTTTTGTATACAAACGTATCTTGATTATTTAGTTTAGTAGGTATTTTTATCATGACTATGTTTCAATCAAACTTTCTGCATAATGAGAATGTTAAACAATTGTAGCAAAAATTCTCCATACAGATTTCTTTGACAATGTTTCAACAAGCATGTCATTATTTTTTACCCCATATAATCGTTTTAGATCAATTTCGCTATTAATATATAGATAATAGATAAGTTTTAATTCAATGTATTTAAATATATTTCATTTAATTATGGAAAATTGAGAAATAAACTTGAAACTATATCAAAATTCCTGTAAATTATTCATGAGTGAAATGAAACTAAATTCTGTTATAAATATATTTATTGTATTCTATAATATATCTACATTTGTATATATATAAATACCTATTTAGGTATCTTTGCAATAATCATAATATTCTCTGTATTTATACATTTTTAGTATTTTGCATCATAAAGAAAGATATTATATAACAAAAAATAATGGCATACAATGCAATTTATTTACAGATAATGGATATACTATATTTCTGAACCATCTTTCTTTGACTCATAAACATCTGTATACGTCTGTACAAAATTTGTTGCAGATTACAAAGAAGAAAGTGCGTCACATTATGGTATATATACAAGAAATTTTAGACGATTATAATTCTAAATTAATAAAAAAGCAATTTTTGTATTAATTTAATACAAATAAGTAACCATTCATAAAAAAAACAAATTAAAAAGTTTTCAACACCAACATAGCAATCCATTGGAATTTTGTTGATTTGGTATCATTTGATTACTATGAGAACTTCGATTTTAGTAGCAAGTTCTTAAGATCAATTTCTCACAACAGTCATACACACAACAAAAACAGATATCTTAGCCTAATAATTTTAACATCACTTATAAAGATCTATATTTTACAATATTCTGGCAATTAGTGTTGGTCTCTATTTAGGCACTGTCTACGACAATTCAATGTTTACATATTTATACATGTTTAGTAATATATATATATATATATATATATATATATATATATATATATTATTCATTTGGTAGATGTTCATAATCTAAAAGACTACAATCATTATATCACATTTTCTCCATTAGATAGCTTAATTATTATGTTCATGATACAGTTTTATCAGAGTGATATAGTCGAACAGATTTTGTATCACATCAAAGTGTCATCAGATTGTAATATGAAATAACTTGACTTCTAATAAAGAAAATAATAGTATAATGATTATAAGGCGTTCTTATATAATCATACATTTACCAATTTGCATAATCAGCCATAAAGCTGATATTATGCATATACATATATATTTAAGTTAATATTTAGAACATGTTTGTAAAAGCTTTTTATTAACATTATACAGACATATGCAAAACACAAATATACAAGTACGTAAATAACTTTCTCCTTATAATATAAAAACAATAGCTGACTCTACAACTTTCGCCGTGCGTTATAAATGGGCTAAAATGTCCATTTCAGTCTGGGAACCATTTTCGTGTTCAACCGTCGAACAACCAGAAACGGTTACTATAACCGGTCCCGATTCTTCTCCGGTCTGCACAATGGTCACTAGATTTCCGTCTTTGAGTTCGTCGTGATTTTCTATTGTTTCGTTATTTTTTAAAAGCATTTTTAATGGAGATATGTCCTCGGGGTCTCTTTTGATTGCGTCCATATTGGCCAGCTCATTGGAAATGTCAGTAACCGTACTGATTCGCGTGTCGTTAATTATATAATTTTCATGTTCCACGCTTGCTAAATCAGATACTGAGTCTCCGACAGAAGGCGCGGTCCTTACCGGAGCATGCCGCGACCTGTAGCTGGGGGGCAGGCTGTATTCAGAACCAGGGGCTGGACAGTGAGAGGTCATTGGAACTCTGTAAAAAGGAAAGACAAATTAAGTTAAGTTCAATAATTTTCTAGGATTATTATATGGTTGTGGTTTCCATTCAAAGTCACAACCACAAACAATGATATTATTACATTATCCTCTAATTTGAAAATTATTGGATATCACAGGTATTATCAGTTGATATTATTAGATCCAATGGATGACCTTTTCCTCAAATTGGAATCAACTTTTACGTCGAAATCGAAAGTGTAAAAATCAATATTTTAGATATAAATATAACTGAAGAAAAGGAAGGCTAACGAAGAGAATCCTGCCGTTGTTGGTCTCGAATTTTGATGAGAAGAAGGTTAGAGCACTCTAAATATAAATCGAACAAAAAAATGATTTTACTTATGTTATCACAATAAGGTCTTTTAATTTCAAAATTATTGTATATCATATTATTATTAGTTAGTACTATCGGTCCAAAGTTACGTCATATTTATAAGCCCAAAGTTCAACATTTTTGGTATAAAAATAATAAAGTCTAAAGATTAAAAATTCTAACAAAGAGAACCCTGCCGATGCTGGTCTGCAGTTTTGATGAAACTTGGCATACTGATAGATTTGAATCATATTATTACAATAAGGTCCTTTAATTTCAGAATGATTGCATTTCACATATAATATCAGTAGATATTATTAGATCCAATGGATGACCTTTTTATTAATATTTAAAACTAAGTTTTACGTCAAATTTATAATTACAAAGTTCAATCTCCATATATCCGCCATTTTTATGTTCATGTTAAAAAATATGTAAAATAAACTCTCTTGCCATGAAGATCGCGAAACAAGTAACATTAAAATAAATTAGTATATTTGAAGAAAGCGTTATATTTTTACCATATATTATTATAAAAAGATCCTTTAATTTCAAAATTATTGCATTTCACAGATATCATCAGTTGGTACTATTAGATCTAGTGGATGACCTTTTTCTCAATACTTAAAATCAAACCTGACGTCAAATTTCAATATTTTAGTTATGAAATTAGTAAAAGGGCTAAAGAATGAAAAGTATAACAAGGAGAATACTGCCATTGATGGTCTGGAAATTTGATGCAACTTGGCATAATGATAGATTTGGGTCCCAAATTGACCCCGGTGAAATATTGAAGGGATGTAAAAACCGAATACAAAAATTGTGTTATTCATATTATTATTACAATTGTGTTATTCACATTATTATTATCATTACAATAAGATCCTTTAATTTTGAAATTATTCCATTTCACAGATATTATGAATAGGTACTATTAGATCCAAGGGATGGCTTTTTTCTAAAATGTTAAAATTAAATTTGACGTCAAATTTTAAAGTAAAAAGTTAAATATTTTAGTTATAAAATTAGAATAAATAATAAAAAATAAAAAGTCTAACGAGGAGAATCCTGCCATTGCTGGTCTAGGATTTTGATAACAATTGGCATAATGATAGATTTGGATTCCAATCTGACCCCCATTAAATATTACAGGTGTATTAAAAACGGTTTAATTATAAAAATTATCGAAAGTATAGTATATTAAAAAATTATTCAAATAAAAAGTTTTGTAAGTAATTTTACGACAAATTAGGGAAACACATACTGACTATATATAGGACAAAACTTTTAAAATTCTATTTAGAAAAAGTATGATATATTTTTTATATAAATCTTGTATAGGTATAAACTACTAATATTCATTTAATGAGATAATTATATAACGAAATTTTATAGTTTTATGAAATTTGCTCAGTTTTTTTTATTTTAGTTTTCATGCAATTTAATAAAAAATACCTTAATAAGGTTCCAGCATTAGATCTGTATGTAGGCGGAGGTGAAGGTCGCCCGCCTGGTGGTGAATGTCCCGCACTATTTTGCCGATCTAACAGGAGCAATCTGCAAAATTATAATAAAATTATTAATTATATTATATTATATTATATATTACTGTAATATTACTTGCAAGGCTCTATTAATGCTATGAAATAGGTGATTTTACTTATAAGTTGAATTGAATAATAATAATAATAAAGGATAGTTTGCCCGAAGGTAGGTTCATGGTGTACCTGAAACTGACTCGAATTTGCATTTGAATTTAAATTGATTATAATATAGAAATTTATTATGCTTGTAATTTTAAAAATTGTAAGATTATCAGATAATTATATCATGTAACAATATTGATCTTCAATTTGTACACGATTATACCAATAAGTAAAACCTTGGTAAAGAATAAAGAAAATGCAGACATTTTGAATAAGTGACCAGAATCGCAAATTGCAACAAGCGCTAATCCAGTATTTGCAAAATTCCATGCAATTTTAATAAATAAATTTACTAAATTGGTGACCCTAAACTTGAACTAAGAGAATGGACTAAAAAACAGAGAAAATGTAGACATTTTTATGGATGGATCGTGATCGTAGTCGAATCATTTTAAATATGTAATAATTCATAAAATTATTAATCCTTAAGCACACGAGGCCACTATTTCTTGTAACATATTTTCTGTCAAGTTTTTATCGTAAGGTGAGCATGTACAGAAAAACGATTTTAACATAAAACATATATGTATTAGGATAAATTCATGTAATGAACTAATCTCATATTTATAAGAATAATATAAAATAATAATAATAAAAAAATAATAAAATGCTAGAGTCAAACTTCATGTTTGAATGCATTCACCTATCTATGAAAGTTTGACAGAAAATATGTTACAAGAAATACTGGCCACGTGTGCACCAGGCCTTAGTTAATAAATAATTACCGAAGTAGATTCGGCAATTATTCAATTTTCAATCAATATTATCTAAAGTATCCTTTACCTAAGCCTGTATTCTTGCATAGAGGCTTGATAGCTCGGCGGTGGTTGTCTATGCTGAAACTCCGGGTACATCATAGCTCCGTAAGGATGATTAGATCTTCCGGAGCATGGCGGTCCGGATCTTGGTGAAAACCTTCTTCCATTACATGCAGCAGAGGCATGTCCTGCTGCAGTGGCAGTTTGTTGGCTATTATTCTGTTCTTCTGAAGATCGACCGCCGAAGCCCCAAAGAGCTCGGCATGGTGGTGTGCCGGGAGCAGTTAGACGCCACGCTGCGCCGGATACAGTGACTAGAATTACACCAACCCCTGGAAGGAAAAGATAAAGTTAGTTGTAAAATAATGATTTACAAAATACATAAATATAAAAAAAATGCTTTGTTTAATTTAAATATTTAACCCTGTTGCAACGAGAGTGTTTTCCGCAAGAGTGACACTGCTATACGAGCTAGCATCCACTAACGAGGAGAACCCTGTCATTGCTGGTCTAGTAATCGATAAAACTTAGCATAATGATAAATTTGGTTCCCAAACTGATCCCTATTTAATATTACGGGTGCATAAAAAAAGAAAAGTGCATTGATTAGAAAAATCGTCGCATGTATAATATATTAAAACGTTAGTAAAATAAATAGTTTTGTCAAGTATTCGCAAAATATTTTAAGATTTTTCTTGTCAATAAAATGTATTCATAAGCAAAAATTTAGAACACTAAAACAACAAATCAGAATTCTTAATAATTTAAATGGACCTTTAAGCCCCGCTGCTCTACCCTATTATTTATTATCTACCCTATTATATTATTTTTATTCCATACGTTTATCAGTTAAGAACAATTTTTACAAGATCAATCCATTTGTTAAATTCAACCTGTTAAGTAAACAACTAAGTATATTAATTTTTCATTCCAATTATCGATATTTCAAATTGTCAAAGTGATACCATATCTCGGTTATAAACTGAATTATTGCCATTAAATTATTGATTATTTATCTGGTTCCAGTATGTGAAAATAAATCAACTCACGTGTTCTGATAAGAAACTGGTTTGAAAACAAATTTTGATGCCGCGCTTATAGTTTTGCCGCGAAATGGCAGATAGCAGCACCTGCCCGAGGAACGGATTCAGTTTAAAAATAAGATACAACCGGTTTAGATTGCTGAAGAAGTAGGTGAACGTTCAATTTAAGATTAGTAGACAGAAATATAATGGCTTTAAGCTCACTTGGTAATTAATATTACTGTGATATTTAATAAATTATAAGGAAAGGTAATTATTTTCCATGCCTGCAGGGTTTAGAGAAACACTCTATTAAACATTAAAAATTGAATAATATTATGCATAATCAGAAATATCTTTTATAACAAATATGTGAGGAAAATCTAGGGACGTCAGTTAAAAATTTGGGGACAATCTATAGCATTTTTACAAAATTTATATGAAAATTAAAAATTTAAATTTATATGAAAATTAAAAAGTAAAATGCGTGTGGCGACTGATATGTTCAATTCATTCAGCAGCAGATTTTAGCCAAACTCACCTTCAGGAGTTTGGTTTGTTCTCGAATAATTTTAAAATACTGTTCACAATCAGCAGCTTCTATTAAACTGAATAAAGTGTATTAGGAGCTACTATAGATTGTCTCCAAATTTTTAACGAATGTCCTTAGATTCTCTTCACAAGTTTGTCAAATATCCTATTCGTAAGTTTAATAATCGACCAAAATCACCTATAGTACTAATTAGGGTTTAACTGGCACAAAAACCGACATTGTAGAAAAGCGGTTTTCGGATAGTATTTTTTTCAAAAACCGGTTTCGAGTTTTTATAAAAAAAAAAACTATATGCTCCAATAATTCGATCAAAAATTGTGATAAAAAGCAGTTTTTACGGATTTCAATTAATTACTGTTCAATTTTATTGATAATATTTTTATGTGCAATTTAGTAGAACAAAACAATAATAATTTGCCAAGATTAAATAACTTTAAAAACAATTAAGTATTCCTTGTTTATGCATAATTTTTATATATTTTTCATCAATCTGGTACATTTGGCTACATTTGTCATTTTCAATTTAAAGGGTTAATCATGTAATGAAAACCGGTATTTTCTAGTTAAAAAACAGTTTTCAAAAACCGAGAAACACTAGTACTTATGTCTTCTAACTTTTGCTTAATTAATATCATCACAAAAAAATTAATTATCATATGTACAAATTAAATTTTCTTATCTTATTTTGAATTATATTTAATTTAGTGCTAACAATTACTTAGTATTTTATATTATGAATTATAGCAATTGTATTTTTTAGTCTTTCTGAGGCCAATTGGCGGACTATGTAATAAAAGAAATAAATAAAAGTATTAATCAGTAAATTGATTTAATAAGAATTAATTAAATATACGATTTATAAAATACTTTTTAATGTAAAAGATAGATCTTTTAATATAAACAGGACTTTTTAAAAAAATCCAATTTTTGGACATTATGTCAACAACTTGAAAATGTATCCATAATCAGTAAAAAAGTTTTATCTTTGCTCCACAATAAAAAACATAACTTTATATATTTGAAGCAGTAACTGTAAGCACACTAGACGTATTTGGTCAGAAAAGAAAAAAAATAAAAGTGGATTTTACAATTCCTAAATATTAAGCCAAATAAAATTATGCCAAATATATATATATATATATATATATATATAAAGGATATAAACACATCAATATTTCTCCGATCCGAAACCTCTGCCAATTTCCTGACAGCCATAATAAGAATGTTTGAAAGAGCACGCTTTCGTTCAGAAACAAGTTTGAAATCCAGGCTACAAAAATCTATGGCCATAAAAGCATAAAATATAACTATATCGGTGTAAGAGTATAACGGAATCGACGACAGCAAATGAGACATAGAAAATTGTGCTTGAGCAACTTCTCGGAAAAGTTCAAGAAAATACAAATAAACGACTGTTAGTCGTTTGGGTTTGCAATTAGATGGATAAAGTTTTACCGCGGAATGTTCAACATAGGGACTTCCTCACGCTGCACTTAACACGTAAACTAACTTTTTTCTTCGGCGGACATGCAAATAAAAAGATTATGTGGCCAAACAAATAAATTAATTTGTCAATTGCACATTTACAGACTAATATTATTTTTATACGCTAGTGAAATCTATATCTTAAATTTTGCTAATTCCTAATCATTTCTAAATTCAAAATGACAAACTCGATGACCCACACATCCTACGCACGTTAAAACAGTAAGCTGAAGATTGTGCAACAGATAACAAGGACTTCTGTATCCATATTTCAGTTACTAGAATTACACTGAGGATGAGACAAACCTGGTCTCAAAACGTCTGTAATTAATTAATTAACTAAAATTATTTAATAAATAAGTGCCAAAAGAATGCTGTGTGTTCATATTTATAAATATCATAATAATTGATATTCAAAAATAAGTTTGTATAATAAGTTTCCTTTGCATGAGAATTTCAACTTAGCACACATATAAATAATTCAAAGTAATATTATGATCATTACCTACATACGAAATAAACGTGCTACCGTGTAACGAAACCAAAAACCGTTATGCTCACGAAATGTTTCTCAACGTTTGCATACAAACACTTCTACTCTGCCTGGAGAGTCAGGGACACTAAACATGATGATTTGATGACTTGCCAAAGATCATAAAACGATTTTCATGAAAATTTGTAATAATTAGATGCACAAAAAATAATTATATGCACAAATGTTTTTTATCAGATCAGAACTTAAGGGTCCCATAAGATATATAATATAACTACATCTGTTTTTTAGATGGTAAGTAACCTAAATAGTTGTCCCATCTCTAAGTGAATTTTTTGTATTGATGCAGCAACACTGGATAAGGGCTATTTTTACTTAGTAACATATTGCTATCTATATTTCCACTACTTCTGGTTGATGTTGACATCCAACCTGCGACCTCTGTTTGAAATCCCATAGCCCTAACCACTAATCCACAAGAAAGTTGCACCAATGTTGAGAAAGAACTTTGATCAAAATAATAACAATTAATAATATATAACCATCAAAATATAAAAATCATAACCATCACGTCCTTAAAATTGCGCACTCATCAACTTCTTACTCTCTTATATAGAGACTTGCTACTCTTAGCAAGGTAATAGAGAAAGATTATTCAAAATTAGTCCAATAATACTCATCAAACTTGTAAAGAAGATTAATCTTTCACAAAGTACGTTGGCAATTAATTATTAATATATATATTTTTATTAAAAATTATTGATAAAAAAAATTGATAAAAAATACAAAATTCCTATATAAAAAGAGAAGTTCACCTGTCAAGAATCCACAACTGAATCCCGTTGTTCCGCGCCCCTGAGGTAACTTGCTTATCAGTAGCGACACGAATCGTTAATTAATATTATGCGTGCGTTGTTTTTATTATTTATACAAAATCCAACAATGGAAATCGTATTGTGAAAATGCAACTGACGGATTAAGCGTGTTTGCTAAAGCGGCCTATTTTGCTCGAATGCGCAATTGGTAATGGAAACTGGCGCACACATGAGCAGATGCACAAAAGTTCATATGAACTTATGTAAATGCATAATTCGATCATACACCTCGTTGAGTTGTATTAAGACTTAGGTACTGGGAGAGGTTAATCTGTGTACTAAATTCAAGATTTCAGAAATTTGCTTGTGGAACTGCATAATCTTAGCAAAGCATTTATGACCAACAACCGTAAGGGAAATTATTACTTAAGATAATTCCGTGGATTAACAGTTGTTTTAATTCTAAATTTATCTTCATATACGAGCACCTTGGACCACAAATATGAATATGAGTAACACAACAGTAGTCCAAATATTTATCCAATTCTATTTTCAATTTTTTTTTCATTTGTTGGAACAACAATCAGAACTATATAAGTTCTAATAGCTTTCTAATAGCTGCTGCGATGTACATTCCTTAACTTGTGTTTTTAGAAGGCAACCCAGGTAAAAAAATCCTTCTATAACTCTTCGCTTAACTAAATTTTCTTCGATTTGTAGTACAGTCAGTTTAAAAAAATCTATATTGTGTTTAAAAGTCTATAATGTGGTCCGCAAAAAATCTATATTGTGGTCCGCAAGCATAGTTTTAAATTGTCTGGGATTTTCAGAAAATTTATATATATATATATATATATATATATATACATATGTATATATAATATTCTGCCCATATAGCAGGTTATTAGAATGCATATCGTGTCAGAGCGCTATTTCAGTTTGGAATCGGCGCGACGCGACGCAA